TTAGGAAGGAAGCAGAAAACTGGGAAAGAATTTTTACAACCAGTGTCTCTGATAAAGGCCTCATATCTAAAATATATACAGAACTGAATCAAATTTATAGGAATATAAGTCATTCCCCAATTGATAAATGGTCAAAGGATATGAATAGGCAGTTTTCAAATGAAGAAATTAAAGCTATCTATAATCATATGAAAAATTGCTGTAAATCACTATTGATTAGAGAAATGCAAATCAAAACAACTCTGAGGTACCACATCACACCTATCAAATTGACCAACATGACAAAACAGGAAAATTATAAATGCTGGAGAAGATGTGTGAAAATTGGAACACTAATGCATTGTTGGTGGAGTTGTGAACTGATCCAACCATTCTGGAGAGCAATTTGAAACTATGCCCAAAGGGCTACAAAAATGTGCATACTCTTTGACCCAGCAATACCACTTCTAGATCTACATGTATCCCAAAGAGATCATACAGATGGGAAACGGATCTACATGTACAAAAATATTTATAGCAGCTCTTTTTGTAGTAGCCAAGAATTGGAAATTGAGGGGATGCCCATCAATTGGGGAATGGCTGAACAAGTTATGGTATATGAATGTAATGGAGTACTATTGTGCTGTAAGAAATGATGAGCAAGTGGACTTCAGAAAAACCTGGAAAGACTTGTATGGACTGATGCTAAGTGAAGTGAGCAGAACCAGGAGAACATTGTACATACAAAAGCCACACTGTTTGATTAACTTTGATAGACTTAGCTCTTCTCAGCATTGCAAGGATCTAAGACATCTCCAAAAGTCTCATGATGGAAAATATTATCAACATCCAGAGAAAAAACTATGGAGTTTGAATGCAAATCGAAGCATACTATTTGCTCTTATTTTTTCTTCTGTTTTGTTTTGTTTCTTCTTTCTTGTGGTTCCTCCTATTGGTTCTAATTCTTACTTACAACATCACTAATGTGAAAATATGTTTAATAGGGATGTATACGTATAGCCTACATCAGATTGTGCTCTGTTTTAGGGAGGAAGGTGGAAAGGGAGGGAGAGAAAATTTAAAACTCAAAAACTTATGGAAGTGAATATTGAAAACTCAAAATAAATTTAAAAAAACAAAAACAAAAAAATAAATGACGAGCAGGCAAACTTCAGAAAAACCTTATGTGGACTTGTATGAACTGATGCTGAGTAAAGTGAACAAAACCAGAATATTGTACACAGTAACAGCCACATTGTGTGATGACTGACTTTGATAGACTTAATTCTTCTCAGCAATACAAGGATCTAAGACAACTCCAAAAGACTCACGAGATGGAAAATGCTATCCACATCCAGAGAAAGAACTATGAAGTCTGAATGCAGATCAAAGCATACTATTTGCTCTCTCTCTCTTTTTTGTTTTGTTTCTTCTTTCTCGTGGTTCCTCCCATTTGTTCTAATTCTTCTTTACAACATGACTAATGTGAAAATATGTTTAATAAGAATGTATATGTATAGCCTATATCAGATTGCAATCTGTCTTGGGGAGAGAATAGGAGAAGGAGGCAGAGAAAATGTAATACTCAAAAGCTAGTGGGAGTGAATGTTGAAAACTAAAAATAAATAAATAATAAAACAATAATAAGATTAGTAATTAATAGTAAAAATATAAATAATAAACTAATAATAAAGTTAATAGCTAATAGAATAATTAATGATAATAGAATAATAAATAAAAACAAATAACTTGATTTAAAATTTAAAAAAATAAAGATAAGAAAATAAAAGAATGTGATGGACTGCTATCCTGCTTTAAGAAATGAGGAAGTAGATGATTTCAAAAAGAAATGGAAAGATTTATATATGCTGATATGTGAAGTCAGCAGAACTGGAAAAACAATATATAATGTAACATCAAAATTATAAAAATGAATGATTTCAAAAACTTTTATAAATTGAGGAAGAATGAAATGAACACAATCAGGAGAACAGCTTATATAATACAACACTGGAAAAAAGAAATAGCGTTGAAAACTGTAAGAACTATGATCAATACAGTAAAACCTTTCAAGATTCCAGAGAATGGGTAATGGTATTCATTACAGTGAGGTGATGGGTTTAGAATGCAGAATGAGACATGAGAAATTCAAATTAATTCCACTTTGTAATTGATTCTATATTGGGTTGATTTCATGTTGTAATTGATTCTGTATCTGCTTAAGTCCCCTTTCTATGTTCTTTAGTTAAGTTCAGGAATTCACCTTTCATCTCTGATCTAGCTTAAAGGTTAGCCTGACCATAAGTCACTGTAATTAAAAGGAAAGGAATGTCATCTTCTACCAGGGGTGGGAAACCTGCAGCCTTGAGGCCATATGTGGCCTTCTAGATCCTTAAGTGTGACCTTTTGACTGAATCCAAATATTACAGAATAAATCCTTTTACTAGAAGGCCACATGTGGCCTCAAGGCCACAGGTTCCCCACCCCTGTTCTATGCCATTAGCTCTTGGGAAAATGCTAAGACATCTGATGTTATCTTTAAGTCCTGAAAGCTAGCTCTGAGTTGTCTCTGAACTGTCTTTGTACCATTAAGGAAAGCAGTTATCACCCTAATAAATCTTCTGGGTGATAGGAAGTCTGAAGCACTAGCAAAGATTGTAGGATGCAAATGGATCCCATAAATCAATCAATTCCTTAATGACAGAAGGAAGTAGTCGCCGGCCCCATGTGGGTACTAGCCAACATTCCTTAGGAAATTGTATCATAATGTTCCTGCCCCCATGATGATGTCAGCCCTACCACCAATCATATTCTCCCTGATCCTTTCTTTGCTCTGTCTTATAAAAAAGAGTCTGCCTCTGCATGTTTTTGTCTCTGGCATAGCTGAGGTAGCTATTGACCCTTTTTATTAATAAATTCACACATTATTAATGATCTAATAGTGCTCAGAATTTTGTACCTCAGGCTACTTTTATTACTTTCTATAATTAATAGATATATTGTACTATATTATATCATATCATATTATATATTTTTACATAGTCATTGAGAGAATTTGTTTTGCTTGATTATAAACATTTGATTAAGAAAATTTGTATTTCTCTGCTTTTTTCCCCCAATGCTTTGGGAGTGGGAGGGAGAGAAAATAGATTTCTGCTAATTTTATAAAATGTAGGAGGGTGTTACAGATGCAAAATGTTGCATACACTTTCAGTTGAAATTACTATAGTATTATTTTTATTTAATTGCTTTACTTTGTGACAAGAGATTTCTCACAAAGTGAGAGTAATCTGTAAATGTTTACAATGTAAAAATAAAACACATCAATAGAACTTTAAAAAAACAAAGCAAGGGAAAAATATATTTTGTGAACAAATGTTTCTCAAATCTACAGTGAGGATTCACTTAATATATATATAAATTATGTAATCTCTGAAAAATTTCACAGTTTTTGAAAAAAAATCTGTTGTGCTGACTTTAATGTACATTTAGATGACCAGTCCATCCATTAAATAAGTATATCAGTGCATATTTTTGGGTCAAGAACTTCAGATAGGCAATCCACTAGATGTAGAATTGAAAAGGAGGAAGAGAAAGAGTACTATTATTTTTCAAAAATTGTATGGTATGTTAACAATCGTTAACTATTCCCTACTGCAAAGACCTAACTTTTCAATAGAGATGTTTTTCTGCAATTATACGGTACTCAGAGTGGTGGAATAGAAAAAGGAGGTGAGCCCATCATTTAATGACAATGAAGGTTTGATTGGATCCTTGGTAGATGTATGGAACAGCATGAATAAAAATCACAGAGAATAGGAATTCATCATTTTGTATCTTCACCAATAGTGGGACTATCCTTACAGCTGGATGGTATAGTGGATAGAGTTCCAGACCTCAAGTCAGGAAGACCTGAGTTCAAATCTGTCCTCAGACACTTACTAGATGGGTGACCCTGGTCAAGTTTAACATCCAAAGTTTCCTTCCTTGTGACAAAATTATGACAAAAATAGCATGAATACTACTGTGTCCATTTTGCAGAGGAAGAACTGAGACCCCACACGGTTAAGAGATTTGTTCATAGCCAAAGAGCTAGTTAAGTGAAAGATCAAGACTGGAGCCTAGATCTCACTCCAAATGTGTTTTCCAGTAAGTCAGTCACATCTCATTTAATAAAAACTGAGTAAAATAAAACTAAAGGAGATTTATATTATTCTCTAAGACTTCTATAAGCTAAAAGAATCTTGATACTGAAGCCCTTAACTTCTCCTTCTGTTCTTTGTAAAATTCCATTGTATTCATCCTGTTTATGTATTCACATTCTATGTAAGGTTACTGAAAAACCGATACTCAGAGCTCATTGACTGACTGATAAGAGTTCAGTTCAGCCTGTGCTCTGAGAATAATACGATAGCAATTTCCTATTTCTGCATTTTTGACTGGTAATTGGCAGCAGTACCTAGTCAGAGGACTCTCATTTTATTTTGTCACACTGCATTGGGAGGTAACCCTGGAAAGGGTACTACTTTGGGATCCTATGAAGTTGATTGAACTTGTCTTACAGAAAGTCTTTCCTCTGAGATATTAGCAACTTAACTGAATTCTCACATTTTATTCCCCAAACTACTGAAATATAGATCAGTATGTTGCCATATCACTTCATAGGCATGTTTAACTTGACATAACTTAATGCTAAATTTTCTTTATGAAAAATTATCTCACTATGGAAGAGAAAGTAAAACTTTCTGGATAAAGGAATGAAACAAATCCAGAGACCCAAATTTTCACCTTGCTATACCTGTAATTTTTTTTCTATATTCTTTGACAAGTCATTTAACCTTTTTATTACTTCTTCATCCAAGGAATAAAAATAATACTTGGCATAACCAGCTTAAGCACAGATAATTAGGATTAACAAATAATTTTTGTTAACATATTCATGTCATCTTACATGAAGTGAGGACAAATCACTTGAAAAATATTGAATTTTTCTTTTAACATAATTTTTTTTTACTTTGCAGCAATGGCAGCATTTTGGTCATATTTGAACTTTTCTTTACCAAGTGGGTATCAGATGAAAGTATTAAGGATGAGCTGATTCAAGGAATTGAAGCAAATAGACAACTGATGACTTTGCACATTGATTTGGGCAGCATATATATCACAGGTACCTTGAAAATCATTTGCTTGAGGATATATGGTTTTAAGTCCTAAGCCTATTTCTCTTTTCTTTCTATACTCTTACTTTGTGATCTCGTCAACTATCATCGATTCAGTGATCTCTAGGTAGTTGATTATTAGGTCTATTTATTCAGCCCAGTTTTCCTGAACTCCAGTCTTGTCTACTAGACAGTTCAAACTCAACATATCAAAAACTGAATTTATTATTTTTCTCCACAAATCCACTTATCTTATGACCTCCTTCTTACTATTAAGGGTAGCTGATGTAATGGCTAGAATGCTGGACCTAGAGTCAGGAAGATCCAAGTTCAAAATCTGTTTTTATCACTAACAGTGTGATCCTGGGCAAGAACTTAACTTCCCAGCTTCAGTTTTCTCATCTCTAAAGTGGAAATATTAGCATTCACTTCACAGAATTGCAGTGAGGATTAAATGAAATAATATATGTAGACACCTTTATAAATCTTAAAGTGTTACATAAACACTAGCTATTATTTTCTCATTATTATTAATATTAATCACATGTAGCCATTCTTATTCTATTCACCCTTCAGTGCCTTCGCACCTCAGGCTACTTTCTTTCTTGTGTGCAAACATATACACATATATGTATAGACACATACACAGACATACATGTAAACATATTTTCAGAATATATGTGTGCATATTGTCAGTATATATACACACATATGTGTGTATAAACATATTTTTCTCCTATTAGAATATAAGCACCTTGAGAGTGGGAGCTTTCTTTGCTTCTTCTTTGTGTCCCTGGTGCTTAGCACATACTAAATGCTTAGTTTTTTTATTACTGCTAAAATCCCTGTGATAATGTTTATACCTCTTGGGAGAGGTCCACACATCAGCAAAAGTCTGATGATTGTGGGTCAAAAAGAGGAGGCCAAACTGAAAGCTGAGATTTCTTTAGCATGCTAAGGTTTCTGCTCTTGATAGCAAATTCAGATTTCTGGGGTGCATATTTAGCTTTTATAACCTTTCACACCTGCTTGGAGTTCACACCCAATCCACAGCACTCTGGTAATTTAGGATATCAAGGTAAAGCATTTCACAAGAGAGGGATGGTAGAAAAAGAAAGGGGTCAGTCAAGGGAGAAAGGGGAATGCAAGCAGCAGGATTTATTAATAGAATGGAAAACATTCCCTGTTCCTAGGCAGGAGACAAGGGGTAGAGACCAAATACTTTTACAATTGTGAAAAAAGTCCTTTTAACAAACCTAAAGGATCTCTTATCCAAGGACAGCAAATAAGTGTTATGATAGTGGAGAACCCATCTGCTTTACCGTGCACATCCTTGTATTAGAGTTGGGGCTTTTTAGGCCACCAGGTAGTTGCGGGACTTCTACATTGTGGGTCCATCAAGATATAGTGAAATGACTATGGTTCCCATTTTTCCCACATAGTTGCAAAACGAGAGTACTCAGGACAAACACACCAATTCCAACTCCTCAGGCTTTTCCTGGCTCATTACCTTTCTAATCTTCTCACCAGGTTCTAAAGCTATCTAATGAATTTGAATATAAAACATCTCCAAAAGTACTCAAAATGCAAAATCCAGATTGATGATGTGTGATAAAAGCCCTGGAAGCGCCATATGCCTTTGTGGAAGCACTACCCAGGGCTTCCCAGAACTGATGAATTGAGCTTCCCAGATTCAGTGAGGAGGAGGGTTTTTCAGAATTGCTGAGCAAGTTGACATTCCTAAACTTGATGAAATTTCCAGGAGGGCCTTTGTTTATGAAGGAGTTATTGAGAATTATTACACAAAATCATTTGCAACATAATGTTTGCATGTTGTGTCAAAGTGAATTACTAATTAATTTATGGAATTATGAAATGGGAGAGACATGCCTGGTTCTTTGGGTACTTGCCAGGAAAGACTACAACGGCAGAGGGAAATAAGACTTCAGTTACACTTTTTAATAAGGCTCAGAGGGTTTAGGGACAAATAGGCACAGAAAGTACAGAGACAAGTGGCAAAAGAAAAAAAAGAAAAGATGACATGGGTGCAGAGGCAGGTGACAGGGTGGTGGAGGAATGAGCATGAGAAAGAGATTGGGAAGGGGGAAAATTAGAGAAAGCAACTAACAAAGTGATGGATTTGAGTTGGGAGCACCTGGTAACATGCACCGAGATAATGGTAGAAGAGAGCTGGGGGATGGGGAGGCAGGAGTTGAGGTCTCATTTTTATAGAATTTTAGTGGAAGGTAGACCCCCTCTTATTCATGCAACCTTTGGGGTCAATTCATTAACATATCCAAATTATCTTAAAGATGTCAGTAAAACTTTAAAGTTAACTTGTGTACATCATCTCAAAATTATCAGCACCATTTGGTGTTCTGCTGGCCTTACTGCAAATACCTGGAGCTTATCTGAGATTTACTTTTCGTAGGACCACAACACCTTAATAGTAAGGCTTCCCTGATATAGCATATATTTTCAGGATGTAATTTTTGGTTAATATATGATGCAGTTTGTAAATTCTGCTTTTTTGATTTTGGGGCAGTGTGCACGTGACTTGTAGGTTCCCCTTTGCAATTTTACTTCCAGTCATTGCTACTTTATACTGACTACTTGAAAACTTACAGGGGGACCAGAATAAGATAAACATTTTCATACAAGGTAAAAGCCATTGCAGGCTCTGAAAATAGAAACATTTGTCATCCTAAAGTATGTTAAAAGTCTTCTATGCAAAAATTAATCCAAATGCACATAGTTTCATGCAATTCAAAACAACTAAAAAATAGACCTTTTACATCAAAGCAGACTTCCTGACTAGGGAGATAACAGTTAAAAAGATCATAGAAATCACAGAAATTTAGCACAAGCCTATGTGCCTCAAAATAAATCACTATAAGGAAGCTCAGTAAAACAAATGAAAAACAGTTTTCAGATAACTTAAACTTCTGTATATAATGAAATAACTGTCTTCAAGTCATAAGCTGTAAGCATGAAGTTCTTAGGTAAGAAACTATTTGATTTATAAAGATCACCAAGAAAGGGAGTAGAAAGTATTCAGTTAGTTATAAAACTTTAAGGTTGTTTTTTAGGCTATATTACAATGTTTGTAAAGGAGGTTCCAAAGATTAATTTAGCTTTATTTTATTTTAGTATTTTCTATCACAAATGTTCTGACACTGTCAGTCAGTACTAAGCACAAAGCAAAAAACAAAAACATTAAAAATTGTAGAAAGAACTAATTTGTTCATTCTTATATCATATCACTTGTATTCTTTTTTACAAATTTAGAAAATTTAAATTTTTTTCAGAGTAACTTCATGGACAATATGGTCTTCAGCTTAGAAATATTTCTCTCCAAAGTTTCCAAATAACTCCTAATTGTCAGATCATATAGCCTTTTCTCATTCTTTATCCTTCTTGATATTTATGCAACATTTGACACTGTTGACCAGAGACAGCCAGGTAATATGGAGGACAGAATGCTGAACTTGAAGTCAGAAAGAACTGAGTTTGAAACTTGCCTCAGACACAATACTTATTGGCTGTGTGCCTCTGAGCAAGCCCCTTCACCTCTCCTGACCTCAGTTTACTCAATTATAAAATTGGGAAAATAAAAGCATTTGTTTCAGAGGGCTTGTTAGGATGAAATAAGGAATTATATTCAAGGTGTCCTGAAAGGCTTAGTGCAATTTAAAGCTATTAAAGATATGAAAGCTTAAAACCTAAAACTACACTAAAACTTTTGAAACACCATGTATAAAGTGCTTTGCAAACCTTAAAGGTCTAGATAAACATTAGTTCTTCTTATTGATCACCATCTTCTCTGTATTCTTTTCTCTACTCTCTTGGTTCTCCTGACCATTCCTTCTCAGTCTCCTTTGGTGGATTATGATAGATATCACACTGAGGTTACCCCAAGGCTGTGTTCTGGGCCCTCTTCTCTCACTATTCTCTCTTGCATGCATTTAATTACCATCTCTATGCAGATATATATATACAACCCTAGCCTTTCTCCTGAGATCCAAACTGCCTATGGGACATTCTGAACTGATTCTCTCAGGCATCTCAAACTCTACATGCCCTAAGAAGAACTCATTCTGTTCCCCATACGTACCTTTCCCTTCCAAACTTCCCTATTTCTGTTAAAGGGGCCACTATCCTTCAAGTTAACTGCATTTGTGACTTCAGTGTCATCCTTGACTCATAACTCTTATTCCACATATACAATCAGTTGCCAACAAGTCCTTTTCTTTTTATTTCCACATCCTATCTGGTGTCTATACTCTTCTTTCCACTTAGGCCGCCACTGTAGCTCTAACCTCTCATCAGGACTATTGAGTCTCTCCTCTCTAATCCATCTTCTACACATGAAGTAGAAACATTTTGCCAAAGTGAAATCACTTTCAAAAGGCACAGGTCTGATCATAGGATTTCTCTAACCTTGAGTGTTTTCCTTGACTTCTAAGATTAAATATAAATCTTTGGCCTCTAAGGAACCTTTCACAACCTACCACTTTTCTCATGCCTGAGATTACTTAGATGTTAGTTTTTATTATCCCTATTTTACAGATGAGGAAACTGAGGCTGAGGGAAGTTAATTGATTTGCTCACACAGATAGTATTTGTATGAGGGCTGGATTCAACCTCAAGTCTTCCTGACTTCAGGACTACTCTATTCAGACCACTCTATCACCTAGTGCTTTAATTTGGTGTGTAGACAACTGAAAGAGACCACACTTCGTAAAGGCATTGTTGTCTTTCACTATATTCATGACATAATCTTGACTAAGTGATGATGAAGCAACAGAGGTCCTAGATGGGATGACGGCTCATAAAAGAGACAAGGGGAGGGGGACCAATCCTGAGAAAATTCAAGATCTGTTCCTCTCAGTTAAATTTTGAGGAAATACACTATATGGGAAGAACCTAGATGATTCTCAATGTAGTCAATGATAAGCTACTGTTATTCATTGTCCCGTTGTGTCGACCACCCCTCAGTTCACACAGGAAGAGGTCTCCTTTTGAGCTTGCTAAGAGATGAGGTTTTGACAAAATGGGGAAAAGGATGGATTACAGAGTAATACTGATTATCAAATGATACAGCATAATGCTAACTTTCCTCAGTGGTTTCTATTTATAGAATCATTTACACATCCATCTCTTTGGAGTGGGACCTTGAACAGGCTAGACCTAGAAGACCCAAGGTGGACTGTCCAGAAGTACTGGGGATTGTGTTTTTAGAGGTCTCTATCCAAAAAGATCAAACAGCAGAGCCTTTAGTAGGTGTGAAGGGGTGGACAGCTTAAGCATCCATTAGGCTTTTGGAGCCAAAAGTTCTAAAGTGATACCACTTTTGAAAAGTAATTGCTGGCCTATTTTACAGGGCCCCAGCTGCTACTGAAAAATGACACAAGGTCATATTATCACCCTTCATCCAGAGTTTCCCATTATGTATGACTGGTTCACATGTAATGAGAAACTCTGAATGAAGGGTGATAGCAGAAGATGGAGAGGGCACAGGGAAGGGCTCATCATGATTATCTTGCATCGGCTAACATATAGTGAGAAACTCTGAATGAAAGGTGATTGTAGAAGGTGGGTAGAGCACAAGAGGCATCCATTGCTAAATGGAAGAGTATATTTAAGATTTTACTTTTGGGTGTTAGTGTATTTTTTTTGTGTGTGAACAACTAGTGACTGCTGGAGGCTGAGAACTCCAGTCTCAGACCCAGTGCTTTGCCTGCTCTGTTAATTCAGTGGCCTATGAGGACTTAGCTCTTGATGGACAGCATTGATGGCTCTGCCCACTTTGAGAGACACATATAAGCAACTGAACCTCAGGGCCACCAATTCAGTAAGCTGGAATACCCTAAATGATAATGGTTCTGGCAGGTTCACCCATGGGCCAAGCTGAGCACTGTATAGCTAGTGTGTGAGAGAAACTTGAGGAATAGGATCGCTAAAATTTTTTTAATTTATATTGATTGCTGAGTGGTGGCCATGTGACTGATTGAATAGTCTTCGGTCTGGAGAGAACAGGAATAGATAATTAATGACTCTATTCTCTCAGGTTAAGAGGAGTAGAGGAATATTGATGATACCTCCCATCATATACAGTCTATGTAGCATATTAGTGCCCATAAGATATATCATGTACTCTCTGTTGACCTGAATCAGGTTAATGCCTTCACAAGAACTGCAAAAATTCGGAATTACCTCCATCATTATTCTGAACATTGACATAGGTGAAGAGGTGGTACAGGACATAATGCTATGTTTCAGTGGGTGTAGAACTGTGTAATTCCCAACTAAAAATTATGTAACTATTTCTGCTAAATGATGTTCCTCACGTCAGTTGGAGCGTCCACCTTTGATTCCACATGAGTCAATTTGGCCCTGAAAGGAGAATTGATTATAGTGGTCTGCTTTCCCAATCTTATAGAAAGTATTCTTACTTTATTACAGTTGATGCTTATTTAGGATATGGTCTCACATTGCCAGTTATCTATTACCATGGCAACCTCCATGACATTCAGTGGTTTCCCTATCTCCTCAAGCAGTAGACATTGCTTGACACAGAAATGGACTTTTAAAACACCTTTATCATAATACCTCTGTTTATTTGGGTTGGATTTCCATCTTCAAGAAACTATACCTGTGATAAGTCAATACTGTCCTAAGAAGGATGATAACTATCCATTTTATCAGTTTCTTGGATCTGACCTCTGAAAAGACACAAGTGATTAATTATACTTAGGAACAGTCCCATTTGATCCTATCTAGCCAATTCCATCCCCAATATGAAGTTGGCTAGTCTTGAGGTTTCTGTCTCCTCAAAAGGTTCTATATGTAGCAGTTTCTTATTAATGACCCCTCAGATGTGTCAGGATTCTTGACCAGCATCCTTCGAATTTGTAAAGAAATGTTAGCATGACATTTGATTTGTTCTCAAGTTTAATTTTGTTCTCCTGGCTGTAAAAATGATACGAGTATCTTTTGATATTCCATTTTTCATTAATATAATCATCTTTTTCATCAACTGATTTACTGGAACTTCTACCCCAGTTCATTATCTCCTTTTCCTCTGGCAGTTATTCATTTCTTGACATAATAAATGCCTTCCTTTGCTCTGAATAAAGAAATATTTAAATATTGTGTTTTTATATAATCATTAACAAATAAAGTCAATAACAAACAGAAATTAGTAACTATTCACAATAATTTGTCTATGAGAACATTCACTAAGAGAATCACTTGAATCCCACACTCTATTGCCACGTGGCTTTTCTTCCCTTGTGAAAACTCAGTCTTTTGCCATTCAGCCTTTTTTCCCCATGGTTATCAAGGAAAGCTTCTTTTCAAAAATCTTTTGTAAGATAATGCTGAAAACAGTTTTCTCAGAAAATAATTATGTCTAACATGTATGTAGTATTTTAAAATATTCAAAATATTTAATATTATTTAACTGTCAAAATGACCTTGTAAGGTAGATGCCATATTATCCCCCTTTTACAGAGGAGAAAGTGATCCATAAAGAGGTTAAGTGACTTGCTCAGGGTCACACAGCTAGTATTTGAGGCAGGATTTGCATTTGCAGGACTACCATTCTATCCACTATCCTTCGTAACTGCCTAGTATACTTCTCCATCTTTTTTCTTTCTCCCAAGGGTTACATCAGCTTCTCCTCAGCTATGACAGGAAACAATCAATTCCGCTTCCCTCAATTAGGTTGTGGCCCCTGGAGGAACACACTTTTGCCTTTCATTATATCCCCAGTACTTAGTATAGTGCTTGTCACTCTTAATAGTCTCACTACCATTTGTTTATTTTATACTTTTAGATCAAAAGTAAATAATACACTATTCCCCTGACTCCATGCAGAGAAGCACCTCACAGTGACTGTCAGCTCAAAGTTGTTTAGTAAACATGATTTTTCTCAATGTTTCATGTAACTCTGAAAGCTACGGTAACAATATCTGTAGTTCCCCTTCATTTCCAATTTTTGGCTAGTATGAAAAGAGATGCATAAATAGTTTCATACATATCAATTCTTTTTCTTTTTTTGTATGGGCATAGTAGTTATATAGCTACAGTAGTTGCATAGTGGCATACTGAATATTATGTCGTTAATATAGTGGAAGACAACAATGCTCTCAGGAGGTGGGGTCTCTTTGAGGTATGTATACACAAAATTGAAGCCCTAGGTGATACAGTGATCACAGGACTTGAAGTGATGAAGATCCAAGTTCAAATCCAGCCTCATACAATTACTATCTGTGTGACTGTGAGCGAATTAATTAACCTCCCTCAGTCTCAGTTTCCTCATCTATAAAAATAGGTATAATAAAAACAAACATCTGACTAATCTCAGTCATGGGAAAAGTGGTAGGTTGTGAAGAACTGCTTAGATGCCAAAAATTTATATTTAATCATAGAAGTCAAGGAAAACACTCAGGGTTAGGGAAATCATGTGATCAGACCTGCCCCTTTTTGAACTGATTTCACTTTGGCAAAGTGTTTTTACTTTGTGTGTGAAAGATAGATTAAAGAGGAAAAACTCAATAGTCTGGATGAGAGGTTAGAACTAGGGTGACTTGAGTAGAAAGAAGAGGATAGACACCAGATAGGATGTGGAAATAAAAAGGAAAGGACTTGTGGGCAACTGATTGTATACATGGAATAAGTAAAAGTTATTAGTCAAGGATGACACTAAAGTTGCAATTGCAGTAACTTGAAGGAAAAGTGGCCCCTTCAACAGAAATAGGGAAGTTTGGCAGAGAAATATGTATAGGGGAACAGATAATGAGTTCTTTGGGCACGTCGAGTTTGAGATGCCTGAGAAAATCAGTTCAAAATGTTCAACAGAGTTGGAGATGTAGAGCTGCATCTCAGGAGGAAGACTAGGGTTGTATGTATAGTTCTGCATCTATTATCTGCATAGAAATGATAATTAAATGCACCCAAGAGAGAAGAAAACATAACAGGGGTAAAAAACACTTGTAAGGTCTCTTTTCCAAGATTTATAAGGAATTGATTCAAATTTAAATAAAAGACTAAGAGTCATTCTTCAAATGATAAATCTTCAAAGAATATAAACAGTTTTCAAAGGAAGAAATCTAAGCTATCAACATACCATATTTAAAAAAAAGCTCAAAATCACTATTATTTAGAGAAATGTAAATTAAAACAACTTTAAAGTTCCACCTTACAGTTACCAGACTGACAAAAAACACGGGACATACGTTGTTGAGAAATGTCAGTGGAACTTTGAATAAACAGGCATACTAGTGCTCTATTGGTAACACCATGGATTGTTCTGGATTTGTTATCAGCCATTCTGTTAACAAATTTGCAACTTTGCCCCCAAAGTTACAAAACTGTACATACCCTCCAACCTGTTGTTATTGTTGTTTTTGTTTGTCCTTCACTCTTGAAGAGGACCATGACATCAAGGAGGTAATGTCATGACATGTAAATGAATTGGATTTAAGTGAGAAAGGGCTGTGCAAAGTCACAGGCATCACTTTCTCTTCTGGAAGCATCTGGGTTCAATGGCAAGATATAGATCATGACTACTGGAGATGACCCTGGATGGAGTGGGAGATGTTGGCCTTTTTAAGCTAAGGTCTTTAAAAGGTCTCAGTTTGACTGAGGAAATGCCCAATCAGTGATTAAGGTTAGGTAAGAAATGAGGCAGAGAATAGCTTCTTTTACCTAGTCAAACAAAAATCAATCTGGGAGGGGGAGACCCCCAGGGTTTCTGGCCAAAACAGAAACAATTGCTATTTCCATTTACTCTGAGCCAATCAGGGCCCAAACAATGACTGAGAGAGGCTTGGCCTGGGACCTATTGTTGGCCAATCAACGAGAGGCAGAGCACTATTATTATTAGAGCTGACTAACTTCATAATAATTTTTAATTTTTTCACTAGCTTTCCTATCTTAGCTTCTCTCTCAGCCACCACCACCTCTCTGCCACCAGCTTTTGCATTTTCCTGAACTTGTGCCAACTTTCTTGGTATGACTTTTTTCCAGCCTCTACCACACTTTTTTTTTATCAAGTTCTGGAGCTTATTTCTCTTTCTATTTTGTTTTCTTTATTTTTTTCCCACATATCTTCTGGGACTCTTATGGGAGAATTGGGTTTTTCTAAGACCTTCTTATTGAAATTTTAACCAGAAGTCTGTATCAAGTACTTTCTTCATAAAAACCCTGTAAATAGCTTGTTCATATATCTGAGGCTCAGAATGTCTAATTAATCTATCAGGGGTCACACAGATAGTAAACAGTCCCTGTTGCTCTTCGTCTAGACCCCCACCCCCATAGTATAAACATCTCTTGTAAGAAACAGTATAGTTCATTGAATGAGAAAAATGGCAAGAGATCAAGGGGACCAGAAGACCTGAGTTCTAGTGCCAATTCTTCCATTAACTAGCTGAGCAGATCATTACCCCATGCCTGTTTCTTCATCTATAAGATAATATTTCTTGCCTTACTTCTACCACAAAGTTGTCATCAGGATAAAAAGGATTGTTATATGTGAAAACAACTTAAAACCTAAAAAGAGAGAAATGCTGTCAATATTTAAGTAAAATAATTTCTTATTTACCTTTAACAGATGCTGACCAACTAACAACTAGCAATCCTCCAACAACCAAAGGTCAGTTTGTGAACTAATATAATATAATATAATAATGTTCATGCTATGGCGGGGGAGGGTCAAGATGAAGAGCAACAGGGATAAACAGGGATAACAGTAAATAAGATTTTATCTCTGCTCACTAAGAGAGGAAGAGAACAGATGCCAACAGGGAGCAATTTCAGCATGTTTATGGGAACAATGGTTCCCTAGCTCCCATCCCGTTGCCAAGACCAGTACATGGTAGAGTGGTGTCCAGATGTATGTAGGACAGCAAAATAACTTTCACACTGTGGTTGAAGGCCCCAATCTTATCTAGAGTTTAAGACAAAGAGGTGTCTGGCACCAATAGGACACTGTCCTATCATCCACATGGGAAGAAAATAGTATACTCAAGATTAGTGAAATGATGGTATTTTTTAAATTGCCTAATTAAAAATGAGGAATAAGGGGCAGGTACATAAGGAACTTAAGTGTTTCAACCTAGCAAGAAGAGTGGGGTAGGTAATGCCCAGTCTCATTAACCTTCATATATATGCGTCCTGGGCAAGGGCAGGAGTCGGAGGAAAGGAATGAAGGGGTTTGGGACAATACCAGTCAAACTAGTTTTCAGTAGCTCATGATCTTGAAAAATCTAAACAGATAGATTGCATTAAAAATAGAATTAGTGTTAGGCTAAGATCAAGAGCATGTATTTAAATGACAGCAGGAAACTAATTGAAAAAATGAATCCAAAAAATTTCCTTTTTTTAAATTTCTTTTTAAAAAATTATTATTGGTTTAGAAATAGAAAAAGAAAGTATTTTCTACTTTTGCCTTTCCTTCCCCCTCTCCACCCCACTTCCATACCTCAGAGCTGAACCTGTACAGTGAAAGTATAACTATCATTACTATTCATCTTACTCTCATCTTACATCTTACTCTGATTTTTTGTGGAGTTCATTATTATAATAAAATCATTATTATTGTTATTGCTATTATTATTCATCTCATTCTAATCTTTGATTTCAATGTAGGTCAGATAGAAATAGTTCTGGGGCAAGTTGTTAGTCCACAATTGTTCTTTTATATTTAATATTCTTTGCATCATTATATTAATATTCTTTAAACTATTGAATAGAAATGAACAGAATACCTGATTTTTGTTGCTGAACAAAAATATGGGGATGTAAGCTAATTTTCTGTACCTAATCACTAGATGGCACTCCCTGTGGGGCATGGCTTCCTTCCAAACCCCTGTGCTTTGTGCTTCCCAGTGGAAGTAAAATGGTTATCTCAAGCTTCCTCGTATAACATACCAAAGGAATGAACAAAGCGTTATACTTGGTCTCAGATCCTTTTGCTCAGATCCTTGTAAAAAGCTTCACACTGATCCCTCCACTTCTCTCTCCCTCAATAATTCTTATTCCCCAGACAAGTTCAGCTAGGCAAGTGATTTCTCTCTAGAAGGGATCCACCACTCCATCTTCCCTGTATTTGTAAGTATTAAAAATACAAGAGCTTCCTCTCCTGTGTTTTTATCTCAGAATCCCTTGACATCATCCTCCACCACCTCCTCCTTTCCTCAATCTCTGACAAAGAGGTGACCCTTTTACCCTATATGTGCACTTGATCCAATCTCCTTCTGTCTTCTCCAGCAGATTTCAACCTTAATCATTTCCCCTTTTCTTGTATCTTCAATCTGTCCCTATCAACTGGTTTCTTCCCTACCCTTCCCTACCACTTTCAAACAGGCTGAAGTCTCCACCATCCTTTAAAAAAAATCACTGTAAGCAAACTGGGAGAGCAAGGAATAGTTTACCTATCAGATTTACGGAGCACAGAAGAATTCATGAGAGATAGAGAATTCATGAGAATTCATGGAGATAGAGAACATTACAAAAAGCAAAATGGATAACTTTGATTACATTAAATTGAAAAGGTTTTGCACAAACAAAGCCAATGCAACCAAGATTAGAAGGAAAGTAGAAAATTGAGAAAGAATTTTTACAACCAGTCTCTCTGATACGGGCCTCATTTCTAAAATATATAGAGAATTAAGTCAAATTTATAAGAATACAAGTTATTCCCCAATTGAAGAATGGTCAAAGGATATGAACAGGTAACTCCCAGATGAAGAAATTAAAGCCATCTATAGTCATATGAAAAAATGCTCTATATCACTACTGATTAGAGAAATGCAAATCAAAACAACTCTGAGGTATCACATCACACCTATCAGATTGGCCAATGTGACAAAACAGGAAAATGATAAATGTTGGAGAAGATGTGGGAACATTGGAACAACTATGCATTGTTGGTCGAGTTGTGAAATGATCCAACCATTTTGGAAAGCAACTTGGAACTGTGCCCAAAGGGCTATAAAAATGTGCATACCCTTTGACCCAGCAATAACACTTCTAGGGCTATATCCCAGAGAGATCATACAAATGGGAAAAAGACCCATATGTAGAAAAATGTTTATAGCAGCTCTTTTTGTGGTGGCAAAGAACTGGAAATTGAGAGGATGCCCATCAATTGGGGAATGGCTGAGCGAGTTGTGGTCTATGAATATAATGGAATACTATTGTGCTATAAGAAATGATGAACAGGCTGACTTCAGAAAAACATGGAAAGATTTGTATGGTCTGATGCTGAGTGAAGTGAGCAGAACCTGGAGAATGTTGTACACGGTAACAGCCATGTTGTGTGATAACTAATATTAATAGACTTAACCCTTCTCAGTAATACAAAGATCTAAGACATCTGCAAAGGCCTCATGATGGAAAATGCTATCCACATCCAAAGAAAGAACTATGGAGTTTGAATGCAGATCGAAGCACACTATTTGCTATTTTTTTTTCTTCTTCTGTGTTTTGTTTCCTCTCTCTGGTGGTTCCTCCTATTGGTTCTAATTCTTACTTACAACATCATTAATGTGGAAATATGTTTAATAGGAATGCATATGTATAACCTATATCAGATTGTGCACCGTCTTGGGGAGGGAGGTGGGAAGAGAAGGGAAGAAAAATTTAAAACTCAAAAGCTTATGGAAATGATTACTGATAATTCAAAATAAATTATTTTTTTTAAAAAATCACTAGACCTTACTGCCTCCTCAGGGCAGTTGGGTGGAGTGTTAGATTAGAAGTGCTGGGCCTGGACTCAGCAAGACTTTCTTCATGAGTTCAAATCCAGCCTCAGACACTAGCTATGTGACCCTCAACAAGTCACTTATCTCTATTTGCCTCAGTTTCCTCCTCTGTAAAATAAGCTGGATAAGGAAATGGTAAACCACTCCAGTATCTTTGCCAAGAAAACCCCAAATGGGGTCATGAAGAGTTAGACATGACTAAAACGACTGAACAACAGCAAAACTGTCCGCTCAAGCTATTCTGTATCTCCTTCTTTTTCAACCAAACTCCCAGAAAAAAAGCTGTTTATATTTGTTGCCTATATTTTGTCTCTTCCAGTTCCTCAGCCCTTTTCAATCTGACTCCCTACCTCATTCTTCAACTGCAAATACTCTCTTCAAAGTTATTATAATCTCTGAACTGAGAAATTTGATGGTATTTTTCAATGTTCATCCTCAATCTATTTGCTGCATTTGACACTACTGATCTGGATCTTCCTGGATACTCTCTCCTCTTTGGGCTTTACTGACAATTTTGTTGTTGTTGAGTCGTTGTTCAGTTGTTTTTCAGTCACGTCCAGTTCTTAGTGACCCCTTTTGGATTTTGTTTTGTTTTGTTTTTGGCAAAGATACTGGAGTGGTTTGTCATCTCCTTCTCCAGCTAATTTTACAGATGAAGAAATTTAGGCAAACATGATTAAGTGACTTGCCTAGGGTCACACAACTAATAAGTATCTGAGGCTGGATTTGAACTAAAGGCATCCTGACTCCAGGCCCAGCACTCTTATCCACTGTGCCACTTAGCTGCTCATAGTGACACTACTTTCTTCTAGTTCTCATATTCATCTCATCATTTCTTTTCTGTCTCATTTGCGATTGATCATCTACATCCTGCCTTCTAATAGTAGGTGTTTCCCAAGCTCTGTTCTAGTGTCCCTACTCTTTCTTTTCCACGTTCTCTCTTGGTGATCTCATCAGTTCCCAAGGGTATATTATCATTTCTATGTATATGACTTCTAGATGTATCTATCTAGTTCCAGCCCTACATCACCAATCCAGGCAGTGAGTTCCAATCCTACTTCATAAATTGTCTATTGTACATTTCAAACAGAATATTCAAAGGCATTTCAAGTTAACATGTCCAAAATAAAACTCTAAATCCACCCTTCTTTCAAATTCCCTATTTCTATCAAAAGGAACACCATTCTATTAGTATCCCAGGTTTGTCAACTTGCCATTACTTTCTACTGTTGGAACTGTTTCACCCAACATGGCCACATAAATGCCCAAAACGTGTTATTACTACTGCCATTTATCTCTTGTTGATGCAAGATGCCTTCTCTCTACTCACACAGCTTCATTCAAGCTCAATAACCTGTAGATCTGCACATGATCTATGTAGAGATAACAACTGGAACATGAAAATTGATGAGGTCTCAAAGAGAGAGCATAAAGAAGGAAAACAGAGCCCAGGACAGAATTCTGAGGTATATCCATAGTTAGGGGGCAGGATATAGATAATGACTGAGCAAAGGTGAAGGCAGAGGAGGGGTCACACAAGTAGAAGGAGAAACAAAAAAGAACTTCGCAAATCGCAAAATTCACTATTACAAACTTACGAGACTCTTTCCAAACATTTCCTTTTGTTCACCTGTTTCTTGTTTATTTTTCTTTTTATAGTTAGATCATATGACATTAGCATAAGAAAGAAATTTAGTCATACAGTGGTAAGTTAACTTACTCCAGAGTAAAAAAATCCTTGTTCCAAATTTCGCTACTGATGAAATCTGTCTGCATGATTTTTAAGGGACAGCTAAGTTGTGAGTGGATAGAGTGCTGGACTTGGAATAAGGAAAACCTGAGATGGGATTCTACCTTAGATATTGTGACCCTGGGCAAGTCACTTTAC